CCCCAAAACCCCAAAACCCCAAAACCCCAAAACCCCAAAACCCCAAAACCCCATTAATTTGGACTAAGTTGAGCTTAATTTTGAATTACTCATTACCTAGAGTCAGCAATTTCTCTAAATCATTGGCTATATTCTTTTTAGCCTTGAGATATTTCTTTTCTGACTTAAATATCTTGTCTTTTCGCTCTTTAGTTAAAGAGCTACTTGTTCGTATCAGGTAGAAGAAGACTCCTCCAAGAGTCTTCATTCTGTTACTTCCATCGTGAGTTTTCATACCACCTACAGAATTAGTCGTATTTGCTTACCGTTATCTTGTATAAGTGATACCTCTCTCAACAGAGAGGTGCAGTCAGGCATTCCAAGCTCATCAACTACACTCCTAAGGAGGCTCTTATTTTTCTCTTTCAAAGTCTTATACAACAAATCTCAATAAAGTGCAGGAGAAGAGATGGAGTTGAGCTCATTAATGATTTCATCAACATTCTGTATTTTATAGACTCTTTTCTTCTTCCTGTTTCTTTTTGCTTGCTTGAGTAAATTTGGGTATTTAGAGCCGATCTTCTTAGCTTTAGCACGCTTGAGCTTCAAGCTCCCATCTACGCTTCCTCAGCACTCGCTAAAAGCAGGTTTTGGCTTCGTGTTGCTACAGTTACTCATAGTCTCAACTCTCTTGTCTAGTTTACGCCTAGGGGAAAGGAAGGGTTCCTTAATGATTCTCTCGTTATTCTCAGTAGGCTGACTAGAGCTGCGAGGTCTCCTCGGAACAGTGCTTCTTGAGTCAACAGAGCCAACATCTGAGATGTTTACGTTAAAAATTTGATGCTTGCTCTCTTCACCAGGGTTCATACTGACCTTTGGGCTGATGAATAGGTCGTTCTTCCTGCTATATGCCGAAATTAGAGGGATTTTGATAACTCGCGATCACAGCGGTATTGGAATCTGAAAATGCTATTTAGTTGAATCTCTATCATATTCTATTCATTTCCAAATCACTTGAAAATTTTAGTACTGAAAATACTCAAAAATAGGACCAGAAGTAAATTTTGAAAAATCATGGAGATTAGAACAATATTTGTGAATTCCTTTAAATCAGGGTAAATTTCTCCACTAAGGTTTTCTAATTTCCATAAGGTTTGCTTATGTTTCGAAGCGGGCTGAACACCTAGTGATCTCCAGTACCTTTGGCATTAACTTATCATTAGCGTAATGCAGGTATTTTCACCCTCTAAAAATGTAACCCAAGCTACATCCCTAAATAGGGGTACTTACAAGCTAGATTTCCTGTTAGACCTTGCGTGGGAGTCCTGGCTACTATCACAACTTTCTAGCATGTTGTAGAATGTGAACCCATTGGGGTTGTACAAGTCAACTTCTCAGTCTTCCATGAATAATGGGTGAGGATTTTAATATTTAATATTATGGGCGATAATATATTTTTTGGGGTTTTGGGGTTTTGGGGTTTTGGGGTTTTGGGGTTTTGGGGTTTTGGGG